ACAAAGAACCGGAGGGGACTGCTGGACACGGGAGGACAGTGGAGGACCGTGCGATGACTGGGCCCCCAGTGGGGTCAGCCAGTGAGACCGCGACCGGGGCAGCTAGTGGTGTGAGTGTGGTGGCGTCACGAAAGAAACAACGAGACGCGCCCGAGTCAAGTGTGAAAGTGTGCAGGGCCTCAGCGGAGGCAGCGGACTCACTAGCACCCGGGACAGCAGACACACTGGCACCTAGAGCTGCAGCAGACTCACTATCACCAAGAGCAGGAGCATCACCAGGGACACACGAGTAACACGCACCGTCATCACTAGACTCAGTCACATACATAGCATATAGAGCCTTGTTGATCTGAACAAAATCAAGAGCATAAATATCTACTCCCATCCGCCACAGTTTCAACCAGTTGGGGACAGCCAGCTCAGTCTCGTACTCATCCACCCAGGCATCCTCAAGACGACCGAAGCAGCGGTACTCAGTGTGCGGCGTCTCGCAGGGCTGACCCTTTAGCTTCCCAGTGCGCCGGACATACGGGCAGCGCCCAGAGCCCCAAGAGGCACCACTCCCGACCACCCACTCACGGAGCTGCTGCGGGGTGGGGTTCTCCGGGAGGCGCGGCAGCTGCTGTCCACCCCCAGAGCCTCCACCGCCACGGGTGGGACCGCCACCGCCTCCACCCTTGCCAGCCCCACTCCGACCTCCTCCACCACCCCCGCCGCCTCCACCGCCCCCGCCGCCTCCACCGCCTCGTCCGCCACCACTGCCGCCACCCCTAGAGCCGCCCCCACCGCCTCCACCCCCGCCCCCGCCACCCCCACCACCCCCACCACCCTTGCCCCCTTTGCCCTTGCTGTTGTTGCGCCTTCCACTAGGAGTAGACGCAGCGCCAGCCTCCTCAGCACCAAGGAGGTCGACAGTAGCAGTAGTAGCAACTGAGGGGAGGAGAGGGGAGGGAGAACATCCTTCAAGGAAGGGGGAGCGCGGAGTGCTGCGAGAGGCAGCAACAGCATTGGTGCTCTTCTCTGCCTCGAGAAGGGACTTCTCAAGCGAGTCAAGCGTGAGCTCAGTGGGGTCAAGGGCTAGGAACTGGTCCCTGACAGTGCGAAGGGAGTCAGGGAGGCGAGTGACGAGGAGGTACAGGGTGAAATACTGCGGGGGGGGGGGGGGGGGGGGGGGGGGTTCTTAGCGAGAAAGTCCGGCTTGAGAGCAGAGCGGAAGCGAGCCTCACTAGTGTGAAGGTGGGTAAAGAGGTCAGCGACAGTGGTGAAGGTGGCTAGGTCCGGATGCAGGTACGGCAACATGAGACGGCCTACGGCAGCAGTGACCGGGGAGGAGTAGCGAGCGACGACAGCGTCATAGAGGGCCTGGGTTGTTTTCTGTTGGCTAAAATGCGCTCGTTCAGCGACAGGAAGGTGGTTGCGAACCGGAAGGCGGGCGGTAGCATCACGAATCATCCACTGAGTATGAGCAGCTGTCTCTGTGGCAGGTGGGGCGGGGAGGGTTCCGTCGGTATGGGCTAACAAGGGAACTCCTTCCTTCGCCTCGCTCTGCAGGAACAGCTGGAGGTCATCGAGCCAGATGTCAAAGTCGATCGCGCGGCCCTCAGCGTCGAAACTAAGAACGGAGACGGTAGTCATAGTAGCAGTAGCAGCAGCAGCAGCAGCAGCAGCAGCAGCAGCAGCAGCAGCAGTAGCAGCAACAGCAACAGTACAGTAGGGGCAAGGCAGGGCGGGTCTGGCAGGGCGGCGCGGCTCGGGCAGGGCGGCGCGGCTCGTGCTGGGCAGGGCGTAGCAGCGGTGCAGCAGCAGTGGCAGCAGTGCTTGCAGCAGCAGGAGCAAAAGTAGTTGCAGCAGCAAGTAGCAGCAGCAGCAGCAAGGAGGAGCAGCTGCAGCAAGTAGCAGCAGCAGCAAGGAGGAGCAGCTGCAGCAAGTAGCAGCAGCAGGAGCAAGGAGGAGCAGCTGCAGCAAGTAGCAGCAGCAGCAGCAAGGAGGAGCAGCTGCAGCAAGTAGCAGCAGCAGTAGCACCCAGGAGAAGGCGCATAGCAGCAGCTCAGGCGCAGTAGCAGCTCAGGCGCAGCAGCAACTCTGGTGCAGCAGCGCGCTAGCAGTTCGCGGGCAGGGCAAGCAGCGCGCGGGCAGCAAATGCAGCACGCGAGCAGCAGGGGCAGTGCGCAAGCAGCGGGCGCAGCGTGCGGGCTGCAGGACAGGGCATTGCGCGGGCTGGGCAGAGGGGCGCGCATGACTGGGCAGAAAAATCGTCTCGCCTAGGGGACGGGACGCGCCTAGGGCAGAAAAATCGTCTCGCCTAGGGCACGTTTCGGGTAGGATAAAAGACGGGACGTGCCTAGGGGCGCGACTTGGGCAGCAGATCGAAAATTGAATGGTGGGCCCTTTTAAAAATCCGGTCCTAAGGACCATAACGCTCTTAATACCATGTTAAACTAAGAGAAGATGAATGGTCGATTAGGTAAGGGGGAGGGTACAAGAATGTCGAGAGAATGGTTGTACCCTCTAGGGATAACCCCTACACAGCCTACAAATCTATAAACATATAAAGTGTTTTAACACCCCAGCGTGGTGCTAGCGCCGGCACTTCTATGTACTCATCTGGGGGCTTGTTGAGTTCAGGTTCAGACAGGTACTCGTCGAACGCCGATGGGTTCAGGAGCGTGAGCACGGGGGGATTCGGAGGAGCAGGAGTGTCAAAACATATGCATATTATTATCTAGGCTATATTGGGGCTAGCCTTAGGGGGTACAGAAATATTCTCGACACTCTAGTTTTGTACCCCAACCTTGACCTAATCACACCATTCTTGCCTTAGTCTCGACATGGTATCTAGAGCAGGAGGTCTCTAGGACCTAAGAATAGGGCCCACCCGTAAATGTGTTACCTCACCTACTGCCTGCCTGCCTTGCCTGCTGCTCGCGCGCGCCTTGGCTGCTCGCGCGCGTGCGTCACTTTTTTTTTCGCGCGCGCCTTGGTTGCTTGCGCGCGCGTCACTTTTTCGCGCGGGCCACTTTTGCAGCGCCGCGCGCCGGCCCGCGTCGCCCGCGCAGCCTGCGTCGAACCCGCACAGCCCGCCGCCGCGCGCAGCCCACCATCGCGTGCAGCCCGCCGTCGCCTCGCGCGCCGCGTCTGTCGCCAGCGCGGCCCGCCGCCGCGCCGCGCGCCGCGTCCGCCGCCCGCGCGCCACGTCGGCCGCTTGCGCGGCCCGCTGCTGCCTAGCACGCTGCTTTAGGAGCTCGCGTGCGGCCGCTAATGCCTGCTGCCTACTGCCTGCTGCCTCTGCCTGCTGCCTGCTGCCTCTGTCCTTGCTTGCGGCCTGGTGCGTACTGCCTCTTGTCTGCTGCCTGCTGCCTACTGCCTTTGCCTGCTGCCATTATGACGACGCCTAACGTTCTCGCGTTCGAGCCTGACGGTCGCCCCATAGAGTTCGGTGTGTGGTTAGATGACCTCCAACTGTTCCTTCTGACCGATGCCAAAGAGGGCGTTTCACTGTTCGATTACGTGTCTGGCACTGCCGTTGCTCCTGCTGCCGATGCTCCTGCTCTCGAACGCTCACAGTGGCAGATGTTGGAGTAGGCTAGAGCTCGCTCTGGCCTTTATTTTGGTGTTCTCTTATCATTCCACCATGCTTAGAGCAAGTTATGCTTCCAGGTTCAATTTAGGTTCATTTCGTAGCTATAGTACAAACTGAACACTTCGAGCGCGCACCATCTCTCTCTCTCAATCTTTCTACATCCACTCCATCCTTGAACGCTTTGAAATGTCACAGGCTAAGCCAGTTTCCACTCCTCTTCCCGCTAACCATCAGCTTACTGCCCCTGCCGTTCCCGCTCCCTCCTCAGAACTGCGACCCTATCCTGAGCTCGTTGGGTCACTCATGTATGCTATGATGTGCACGCGCCCCGATCTTGCTTACCCCCTCAGTGTCCTCTCTCGCTTTGTTGGCCTTGGTCGCCACACAGACGTGCACTGGGCGGCTGCCAAGCGCGTTCTCCGCTATCTCCGCGCTACCTCTGATCTTGCTCTCACTCTTGGTGGCTCTTCTCCCCCTGTTCTTTGCGGTTCCAGTGATTCCTCCTATGCTGATTCTCGCCCTGATCGCCGCTCCTCTCAGGGTTATGGTTTTACTCTTGGCAGTGGTCTCATCAGCTGGCGCTCCACTCGCTCATCCTCTGTCTGCCTTTCTACCTGCGAAGCTGAGTTGTACGCAGGCACATTGGCAGCTCAGGAGGCTCGCTGGCTCTCCTTTCTCCTTGCTGAGCTCGGTCACTCTCAGCCCTCTGTGACGCTCTCCTGTGACAGTGCGAGCATGATTCATCTCACTGAAAATCCTGTCTATCACGCCCGCAGCAAACACATCGAGGTCCGCTACTTCTTCGTGCGCGAGCTGGTGCAGTCTGGCTTCTTACGCCTTCGCAAGGTGGCCGCTACTGCCAACCTTGCTGACATTTTCACCAAGGCCCTTCTGCGTGCGCCACACCGTTTCTACGTGCGCGAGCTTGGGCTCACGCGTCTTGCCACTTCTGGGGGTGTTCCCGTTCGCTAGGTGTTTTGTTCCAGAGCTTCACCTAGCCTGGGGGTGTGTTGGAGTAGGCTAGAGCTCGCTCTGGCCTTTATTTTGGTGTTCTCTTATCATTCCACCATGCTTAGAGCGAGTTATGCTTCCAGGTTCAATTTAGGTTCATTTCGTAGCTATAGTACAAACTGAACACACCCTAAGTTCAATTAGGGTTTCCAATTCCTTTCTAGACTTGTATCTCGACACTTCTTTCCTAATACAATTTTTCTCTCGCTACCTTCTCTCTTCCTAGCCATGGCTACCACACTCTCAGTTTTAACAGCAGACTCACGATGCTGCTGCACGCCTAGCTATTAGGAACCATCTGCCGATTACTGAGCGCGCGCATTTCAGCCAGCACAAAACTGCTAAGACGCTGTACGACGCTGTAGTTGCACGCTACTCCTCCCCGGCCACTGCAGCCATAGGTCGGCTCATGCTACCCTACCTGTTCCCCGACCTTTCCTCGTTCACCACTGCTGAGGACCTCATTTCCCACCTGCGCGCTACTGACACTCGCTTTCGTGCCGCCCTTCCAGCCGAGTTCTGCGCCGCAAACCCCCCCCCGATGTACTTCACTCTCTATTTCCTCGTCACCCGCCTCCCTGACACTCTTAGCTCCGTCAGGGACCACTTCCTAGCGCTAGACCCCACCACTCTCACTGTCGACGACTTCGAGAAGCACCTCCTCGCAGCAGAGAAGAACATCCTCGCTGTAGGTGCTCCTCGTGGCACTCCTCGCTCTCCTCTCTTTGAGGGGTGCTCCCCCTCCCCTCTCACCCCCTCCTACACCTCCGCAGCTGCTGCTCACGACTACCTTGGTGTTGAGGAGGTCGGGGCTGCTTCCGCTCCTACTGGGAAGCGTCGCAGCGGCAGGGGCGGCAAGGGTGGCAGGGGAGGTGGGGGTGGCGGTGGAGGTGGCGGTGGTGCAGGCGGCGGGGGAGGTGGAGGTGGTGGAGGCGGTCGTGGGGGTGGAGGTGGTGGAGGTGGTGGTGGGGGCAGCGGAGGCACTGGGAGCGGTGGAGGTGGCAGCAGCGGCGGTGGGGGAGGAGGGAGCGGTGGTGGCAGTGGTGGTCAGGGCCAGCAGCAGTCGCAGCAGCAGCAGCAGCAGCAGCAGCAGCAGCGTCAGCGCCAGACCCCCACTTCCCAGCAGCTTCTTGACTGGTATGCCGGGCGTGGGGCTTCTGGGGGTCCTGGTCGCTGCCCCTATATCATTCGCACAGGTCCCCGCACTGGTCGCCAGTGCACAGGGTTTCACACTGAGCAGCGCTGCTTCGCTCGGCTTAGCGACGCCTGGCGCGCCAAGTTTCCTGATGCTACTGAGGTCCCCAACTGGGCAGACCTGCTTAGGCGTGATGTACCTATCTTTGATCTTGACTATGAGGCTATTCTTGCTGCCATGTATGCATTGACTGTTAGTGCTGAGGGTGACTGCTACTTGTGTGTGCCGCCTGACCCAGGTATAGCCCCAGGTATAGCGCCTGTGGCACTAGGTGCTTGTGAGTCTGCTCCCCCTGGTACTGCGTCGGCACAGGCCTTGCACACCTTCACACTTGACTCTGGTGCTTCCCGCTGTTTCTTTCGCGACAGCACCACAGTCACTCCCCTCCCTGCACCTGTTCCTGTCTCGCTGGCTAACCCCTCTGGGGGCCCAGTGCTTGCACGGTCTTCCACTGTGCTTCCGTGTCCGGCGGTCCCGTCTGGTGAGCTGTCTGGTCTCAACATCCCCTCGTTCTCTACAAACTTGGTGAGCAACGCCGTCCTTCAGGATCACTGGGTTGACACCTTTACTCCTGGAGGACAGCGTGTGGCGATCTGCACGTGCTCCCGGACCGGCCGTCACCTGGCCACGTTCAAACGTGCGCCTGGGTCCAGTCTGTACACCCTCACCACTGCGTCGCGCTCCACCCCTTTGTCTCCCCAGCTGTACGCGTCTGCTCAGGTAGCTACCCAGTGTGAGTGTCGCCGACTGTCGCACGACACTCTCCTGTGGCACCACCGCCTTGGTCACCCCTCCCTGCCTCGCCTCCGTAGCATGCACTCTTGCTACCTGGTCTCTGGCCTTCCCGAGTCTCTGCCTGCCCTCCCTCCCTCGCCTGCGCCGCCCTGCATTCCTTGCGTCGAGGGGCGGCAGCGCGCTGCTCCTCAGTCCTCCTCGTTCCCTCCCACAGAGGCTCCACTGCAGACTCTCCACCTGGACATGTGGGGCCCAGCCCGCGTCCGTGGACAGGGCCACGAGCGGTACTTCCTGCTGGTCGTCGACGACTACACGCGTTACACCACGGTCTTCCCCTTGCGCAGCAAGGGGGAGGTCCCTGATGTTTTGATCCCCTGGATCCGCGCTGTTCGTCTCCAGCTCCGCGAGCGGTTCCAGTCGGACTTTCATGTCCTGCGTCTGCACTCTGATAGAGGTGGTGAGTTCTCCTCAGACCTCTTGGCAGCCTTCTGTGCGGAGCACGGCATCCGCCAGACGTTCACGCTTCCGGCCTCTCTGCAGCAGAATGGGGTTGCTGAGCGCCGCATTGGCTTAGTCATGGAGGTCGCTCGTACCTCCATGATCCATGCGGCTGCCCCCCATTTTCTGTGGCCGTTTGCGGTCCGGTACGCCGCGCATCAGCTCAACCTCTGGCCCCGTGTCTCCTTGCCGGAGACCTCGCCCACTCTGCTGTGGACGGGGAAGGTTGGCGATGCGTCGCGTTTCCGGGTCTGGGGTGCTCGTGCCTTTGTCCGCGATACCACCGCGGACAAGCTCTCCGCTCGCGCCATTCCCTGCGTCTTCCTTGGCTTTGTCCCTGACGCGCCTGGCTGGCAGTTTTACGACCCCGCCTCGCGCCGTGTCTTTCCGTCTCAGGACGTCACCTTTGACGAGTCCGTCCCCTTTTACCGTCTCTTTCCCTACCGCACTGCCCCTCGCCCCCCCCCCCGCTGCTCTTTCTCGCCCCAGGTCCTCCCCAGGTAGACCCCCTCCCCGCGCCAGGTCCTGCTCCTTCAGGTGTTTCTCAGGTAGACCCTCCCGTGCCTGCGCCTGTTGAGGTCACTGGTGACTCAGGTCCTGCTGGGGGTGGTGCTGTCTTTGGGGGTACTGGGCCTGGGGGTGCGGAGCTTGGGGGTGCTGAGCCTGGGGGTGCGGAGCCTGCGCGTGAGGACCCAGGAGGTGCTGAGCCGGGGGGTGCGGAGTCTGGGGGCGCTGAGCCTGAGCGTGAGGAGCCTGGAGGTCCTGAGCCTGGGGGTGCTGTGTCTGGAGGTGCTGAGCCCGAGCGTGAGGAGCCTGGGGGTACTGAGTCTGGGGGTGCGACGCCTGAGGGTTCTGAGTCTGCTGCTGCGCGGTCTCCTTGGAGTAGCCGCCTTCGTCCGCGTGTGCCTCTCACCTCACAGCAGCTGCACGACTAGTACGGTCGCCGTCAGGGTCGCGCTTCTGGAGCTCGGGGCTCTGCCGCTGGAGGTACTTCTGCTGACGTCACTGGAGCTGGGAGTGGTGCTGGTCCCGGAGGTGCTCGTACTGGAGGTGCTGGAGCTGCTGGGGCTGGAGGTGCTGCTGAGCCTGAGGGTGCTACTGCTGGAGACCCTGGGTCTGGGGGTGCTGCTGCTGGAGACACGGAGGCTGGAGACCCTGGGACTGGAGGTGCCGGTTCTGGGGGTGCTGCTGAGGGTACTGGAGCTGCTGAGGGTGCTGGAGCTGCTGGAGGTGCTGGAGCTGCTGAGGGTACTGGAGCTGCTGGAGGTGCTGGAGCTGCTGAGGGTGCTGGAGCTGCTGGAGGTGCTGGAGCTGCTGAGGGTGCTGGAGCTGCTGGTGCTGGTGGCACTGCACAGCCGCGCCTCTTCTTTGCTCCACCGTCTCCGTCGTCTCTGCCACCGCCTGACTCCGTACTTAGCCAGGTTCTTAGCCTCCCGTCGTCTACTGGTCTTCCGTTACAGCCTGGCTCACCTCTGCCTGCTCCTTCTTCTTACACTGAGCAGACAGGGGGTCTTACTGAGCGTCGTGCGCCTGCGTCGCGTCATGTCTCGCCTGTCCGTTTTGGTCGTCGTGTTCCTCGTCCACGTCAGTCGGCTGTCCCCGACACCCACCTCGTGGTCCGTCGTCGTTCCTCTCCTCCGCAGCGTGTTCCTCTGCCGTCTCCCCCTGCGTCTTCTCTGCCTGTTGTTCCGGACCCTGAGTGTGACCGGCTTCGTGCTGAGCATCCTACTGTCATGCGTCTGCTAGTCACTGTTGTCACTGACCCGTCGTTTGAGTCTACTGATGCGTCTGCCTTTGTCGCTGAGCTGGTTTACTTTGCTGCTGCCTGTCGTCTAGACTACGCTGCTAGTCTTGTTGCTGAGTCTGACTCTGTCTGTCCTCCGTCCGTCGGGGGTGAGTGTGCTCTTGGCACGGACGTCCTTGAGGACAGGCAGGAGGACCTTGAGTGTCTTGCCGCCGCTGCGCCTCATCTCGTGGCCATGCTGCTTGCCCCTGAGGGAGACCCGGATGCACCAGACATCCCGACCCCGCGCTCTTACGCTGAGGCGATCGCGGGTGAGTACTCCTCTCAGTGGCAGACAGCCATGGACGCAGAGATGGCATCCTGGAAGTCCACAGGCACGTATGTCGACGAGGTTCCCCCTCCTGGGGCGAACATCGTCAGTGGCATGTGGATTTTCAGGGTGAAGCGGCCGCCAGGTTCTCCGCCTGTCTTCAAGGCTCTTTACGTCGCTCGAGGTTTCTGTCAGCGAGAGGGAGTTGACTTCTTCCAGACTTTCTCCCCCACCCCGAAGATGACCACTCTTCGGGTGCTGCTGCACGTTGCCGCTCAGCGTGACTACGAGCTTCACTCGCTTGACTTCAGCACAGCTTTCTTACAGGGCAGCTTGCACGAGGAGATCTGTCTGCTCCGCCCACCCGGCTTCACTGCGTCGTTCCCTCCTAGTACCCAGTGGAGCCTCCGGCGGCCGGTCTACGGTCTCTGCCAGGCGCCACGTGAGTGGCACGACACACTGAGGACGACACTTGCGGCTCTTGGGTTTGCTCCTTCGACTGCTGACCCGTCGCTGTTTCTGCGCACCGACACTTCGCTGCCGCCGTTCTACATCCTCGTGTACGTCGACGACTTGGTCTTTGCCACTGCTAACACTGAGGCTCTCGCCCTGGTGAAGTCGGAGCTGTAGAAGAGACACACGTGCAGAGACCTGGGTGAGCTACGCAGCTACCTTGGCTTGCAGATCACCCGGGACAGAGCACGCCGCACCATCACACTGACTCAGTCACACATGGTGCAGCAGGTCCTTCAGCGCTTCGGCTTCACCTGGTCCTCAGCACAGCACACTCCTCTGGCTACAGTCACTTGCTCTCAGCTCCACCTTCGGACGAGTCCGTAGAGCCGAGTGGTCCTTACCAAGAGCTAGTGGGCTGCCTCATGTACCTGATGACCTGCACTCGTCCTGACCTTGCGTACCCTCTTGGCCTTCTGGCTCGCTACGTGGCTCCTGGTCGGCACCGAAAGGTGCACATGGATGCTACTAAGAGGTTACTGCGCTACTTGTGCAGTACATCGGGCATGGGGCTCGTGCTTGGAGGGCGGAGTCCAGTTGTCCTCACTGGGCACTCAGACGCTTCTTGGGTTGACGACCAGGCTACACAGCAGTCGTCACAGGGTTACTCGTTCAGCCTTGGCTCCGGCTCTGTTTCTTGGCGGTCTACACGCTCGTCTTCTGTTCTCAGCTCCAGTTGTGAGGCTGAGATCTACGCCACAGCCATGGCTGCACAGGAGTTACGTCGGCTCACCTACCTGCTGACCGACCTGGGAGAGCGGCCTCGTTCTCCTCCAGTTCTGTACGTAGACAACAAGGCCGCCATTGCACAGACTGGAGCACAGAACGAAGCACATCGCTCTGCGTTACTTCCTGGCTCGAGAGTTGCAGCAGCGGGGTCAGCTTCGCCTTACTTACGTGGCCACTCGGGCCAATACTGTTGATATATTCACCAAGGCACTTCCGTCTGGTGACCACCAGCGCTTTTGTACTTTGTTGGACCACCACCCTAAACCCTCAACCCTACGTTTCCACACTTGCTGTAGTCTCTGCTTGTACTGTGATCTATATATATACACCTGCATGCTTGCTCTTGCTAGATAGAGATCACTGTGCTGTTCTTGTTGCTTATATACCTCTGCATGTGGACTGGCCTTGTGGCCGTTTGCTTGTGCTCAGTGTGTGTGGTGACATTGTGATCCACCCTGAGCTGTGTTTTGTTTCTTCTCTTGACTGGTCTTGTGACCATTGCTTGCTCTGGCCATCCCCCATTTCGCCTATGGGGGTGTGTCAAAACATATGCATATTATTATCTAGGCTATATTGGGGCTAGCCTTAGGGGGTACATAAATATTCTCGACACTCTAGTTTTGTACCCCAACCTTGACCTAATCACACCATTCTTGCCTTAGTCTCGACAAGGAGGAGCAGGCTGCGCAGGAGGCGCTGGAGGAGATGGAGGCGCAGGTGGCTCGGGAGGATGTGGTGGCACTGGGGGCTTCGGTGGGACACGGCTTTACCAGCCGTCCTCGGTAACTCGATAGGCGGGCCTAGGCATCTTCTTGAAGAGAAAGTGCGTGCCAGTGAATTCCGCCATGGCTTCCGCAGCCTGGCGGGCGATACAAGAAAGTGAATCTGAAAGTGCAAGAATGGGAGAACAAAATGGACTTCTGAGGGGACCCCTTCGAGGGAGCGGCTCGGGGTCCTCGTCAATGAGAGACGGGTACCCCCTGCAGAGAAGGGTTCGCGGCACATCACATGCTGCGCTGGCTGCGCATATTCGTGCCCCTTCTAGAAGGGTCGGACGAGATGCTCCTGGTTGGCAACACATGCCAAGCTGATTGGGCCGCACGGCATGTTACGTGTCAGCCCTGGCGTTGCTTCGGGACAGGTTTTGTGCGGTGGGAAATCGAGTCGCTGCTGTTTTCGCCCGTTTTTCATGCAC